TACAATTGACAAACTCACATAGGTTATGTTTACTACTTAAGAACAGCTGATGAGAGGGGTGTTATGTAAACAAACATGTGTACCAACTGTTGGTGATGAAATATTTCATTTGTTGAAAACTCAATATACATATATATAATATAATGATACTATATCTTGAAAACAAGAGCTAATATATAATTTTTATGGTCACTTTCGGTTTTAACACGTGGAAATACATTAAAATCATCTAATTTCAACCCCGAAACAAAAACTTTGTAGTGTTGTGATCAGTCATCTAAGGAAACGCTAGTTGAAGTTCCAGTAAATCACATACGTTTTTGCTACCTCTTGAACAATTACTACAAAGTAAATAAGTACGGACTTTTCTAGCAAAAGATCTACAAACACAAGACGAGATAGACTGTATGGAATTATTCAATCCAGAGCGGTCAGGAGTATTGATTCTGCCATTTTTTTGCACACGAAAAGTATTCAACAAGTACCCCAAGAATTTGGAGCAATCCTCTTGTTGTCCTAACGAGTATCTAGTGGATTTCAAAGAATCCCGGAAATCGGTTGGTGGGAAAGATTATAAATTTTTACGAAACTGTATGTTCTAATATGTTCTGCGGAGACATTTTAATGAAGTTGATCATTGAAGATGGATAGGTACGAGTACTCTCAAACGTTTCTTATTATTTTTTTCTTTGGAGTCAATGAAATTGATTTCCGTTATGAATGAATTCTTTCGTGGCAGTCGCTCATTGTATTCGCATTGCCTCTGTTATGCAGAATTCATTCAACCTGCAAATAATACGTCGAAGAAAAGACTAACGATGACTTTCATGGCCTAATAAAGTGTTATGCCAGCACACTGAACCCAAGTCGACGAAAGTCATAGACTTAGATAAATCAAGCACAACCACTCCTTTCATCATCATGATATTTTCATTGTTACTAATTGTTTTCTTCAATTTTTCAGCGGCCAGGTATGGACTTCTGCAAACCAAAGTTGGAATCAGTGCTGTTATCAAAAATTTCAAAGTTACTCTGAACAAAAAAACCAAAACACCAATAAGGTATGTCACATCGGGTAGAATACCAGAAATTGAGGGAGGAGTTTGGCTCGATGTTACTAAAATTCAGTAGAGAATACATAGAATGAAATGAAATCAAACACTCCACCGGTGAGAAGTTTCATTAATCCACTTAGAGGAAACTATTTTAGGTGAATTGACAAATTATAAAGTTTGTTAGTGTGAAATAGTGTTTTTTTAACTAGAACCAATTCTGTATGAAGCTGTCCCCCAGTCGACTCCACTACAATTAATCATACTTGCCGAACCTCAACTGGAACCAATTCTATATGAAGCTGTCCCCCAGTCGACTTCACTACAATTGATCATACTTGCCGTAGAAAAAGTTCATTACTTTACTGTGATTACTTCTCAGTGAGCAGTGTTCAAGTATACCATATCACAATTGTATGGTATATTGGGACAAGTCGGTGTTTTTTTTTTACTGATGATCATAATCAACCAGAGTTGGAGTATTATTCATTATGATCATTTAATTTTCTCCTCTTTCTCGAAACTCTTCTAGTTTCTTCTTGGTGCAATGTGAACTTTGTCTATGTGCTCTTCGTATTGTCCTTTCTAAATATTAACTGTTGCACATTTATCAGTTCCTAATTCTATACCGATAGCATACGTTCTCTTCTATTACTAGATCTGGCTGGAATCAAAATTAGTCTGACTGGCGACTGTTTATAGAAAATAGATATTTCGGTAGGCCATGCGGTCTCCAAGTTAAGCCCACTTGACTTGAAGAGGACACAGATCAGATTGGGTGAGTCTCTCGCATTATTTTATATTTATACAACTGCCAAATATCAACTTTTCACTGCCCAGTTTCCAACTCGAATCGTTCTTTATGTTGATAAATGTATGCCATTTCATTTTCTAACCTCATTTTGGTGAATTATCTTTATGTGAATTAAGTGACTTATGTTCCATACGTTCGGTAGACTGGTGGGTTGAGGTGGGTGGTTTGCTCGACACACTCAATCGACCGCTGTGTGGACCGGTGGTTCGAACCGCAACGCCGAACGATCGATTTTCACTTCCTATCATCCAACACATACTAGGAATCACACGTTTGAAGGTAACACCTCGATAGTGTTTAGCTCGAACAAGTTTTGACTTTTGAGAGTTTTCGTTCGTAGGGGGTGAACGGAAAAACAGATTTCAAGAGATTTTTTAACAGAATTCATTTCGACGAGTTCATTAATATCTGTTTTAATTGCTTACTATTCAATTCTTGGGTTTCAACACTGAAGTAAATATCATAGAGTATCAACCATTACATTTTCTCAAATGAAGCAATATATATTCTTCTGAATAATGGCTATTTTCGAGAATAACATTTATAACATTTATACCGATATAGATAACTGATAAACAGAACATTTTTATTTTGGGAAAAATATTGAATTTACGCACTAACTTATCTGAGTGAACTAGAAGTTTTTCCTATTTTACAACGGTATGAAGTTCCCCATTGAATTTTTTCCGATTGTGGTAGGTGAAAATACCCAAAAGTGTCAATGAATAAAGCAATATACAATAATTTTCTTTCAATATCAGTTATTTTTGCACGAAGGTTAGAATAATAATTGAGTTAATTCAATATTCCCTTCAACCAGAAGTATCTATAGTAATGTGCCTTCCAAAACAAGCATGAGTTGAAATCAATGACAAAACTCTCTACTATGAATGAAAAACGTATTAGTGACTTCTAATTCACCATAAGTAAGGTCCACTGAAGTATACCTTTATTGCGGAATACGGAATACAGTATATCACTGAATCAATGGTTATCCGGCTTATCACACGAATGAGAAAAATAAACGAGACACTCGAGGAGGTTCATTGCAAATCTCAGCATCGACATTGAACGCCAAACAAGATTCGTCCTTTTCCTATGCAATCTCCACTGCAAGGCATCTTGTTGAAACCGTTTCTCGAAAACAAAACATTCATGATCCAAAATCATATAGCGCTATTTCAACCCGCTATAGATCTCACCTCTCTTATACTTTGTTGTTGGGCTCTGGTTTCATCCAGTTACCTTGAGCTGGAAGTTGCAGAGGAAGACAGGACGAATCTCGTACGGTGGTCCTGTGACGCCGTGAAGGCCAGCGTTACAGACAATTTCTATTTAAAAACATCATTTCGACTTTGAACTTTTGTCATGTGTCTGCATCTACAACGTAATTGTCAAGAGAACAATGTAAAAAAGATTGATTGGGTATATCAGATACCTGAAGATTATGGATTTAAATGAATAATAATTTGAAACAGGATATTCATATATATATATTTAATTGCGTTTTGATAAAGACATGAC